CAATCCTGCTACCCAAGTTCTTTTTTGAACTCTGCCATTTTCAAAACATGCTTCTCTTAATGATTTGTCTGACTCTTTGCTAAGGGTCAATCTTGGTGCAATGGTGAAACCTCAGGCCGAGAGAAGTTACTTTATGCAAAAATATGCCAAAGGGCAAAGGTTAGGTTCATGTCAAGTTCACCCTCCCAAGACCCTGGATCACAGGGACCAGCATTGGGTAATAGCCCATATTTGTTATTGTGTTCTCTATAAATGAAGTTCTTTCGGTATTAAATTAGTATCTTGCAGAAGCTGCTTGGTTCATGAATGGACTTTACATTAATGTTCTTTACATGTATTTTAGTTKCTATATTTCATTTTTATATTTTGTATTATGTGCCATTATGTTTTCTACTTGTACACTTTTTTTTTCTCTGTGGAAATTGCTTTCTCTGTTTTTTTCCTTTTATGTAATCCCTTCTGTGGTTACCAAGATTTGGATGATGAAGGCTTTTTTTTGATATTGCAGTTGTTCTCATGTTGAGCCATTTATGCACTGTGCAGGAATCTTTTATTTATATATGAAAACTATAGAGAGGGCTCATATGCCAAATAAATTATGGGAAAGAGTTAAGTTGCCAAGAAACTATGAGAAGGCACTTGAAATCATTGATAAGTATCTGGTATTCCCCTTCACCTAAAACTTCGSCCCTTTGCTTTTCTTTCTTTGTCTTGCACTTGGTTTAAAATTCCTACTATTTCATAATTTTCATTAAGTTTACATTGCTTACTTTTTTACATTCATTTTGGACATGACAGATGTATTGGCCTAAGTTTCTTGTACACAAAACAAAGCAACGGCTCACCAAAATGACTCAAATGCAGATACGCATGAGGAAGCTTGCACTAAAAACAAGGTATGCAATTTCTCATGTAATCAACCATCTTTAGATTTTAAAATTAGTCACCTATAGATTTTATAACCATGATTTCCACCTATAGTAATATGATTCTTAAGCATGTTAAGCAATCCAGCACATGGCCACTTATGCATTTTTTTTGTTTTATTAGTCAACTTTTTAAGAGAGATATATTTTTTTGTTTTATTAGTCCGTAATTTTATATCAAATTTTAAAGGAGATAGACTATCAAGTACCAACAGCTCAGCCAATGGGCCAGATACTCAATTTAGTATCGGAATTCAGAAGTATTAATTAATAAGATCATAAACAATTGCCACACAAATTGAGGTTTAAGGGGTGGTCTTTGGCCATCGGATCAGCCAACCAGCTACAGTGTTGTGTCATGTATCTGGGCATCTCCATGTGACTGCCTGCCCTGCGGGCTGCAGCATTCTTCTTCTCCTACTCCACTTTCCTCTCTTCCTCTCTGCTTCTCAACTCTTAGCATCACAAGCCCATCAACCCACACTTTCTTTGCTTCGAAAACCCAAGGCTCCGCCAAGCCTACATTGCCTTGCAGACATGGAAGACAGCCATCTTCTCCGACCCTTTCAACTTCACTGCTAACTGGAATGGCCCCGGTGTCTGCTCCTACAGTGGCGTCTTCTGTTCTCCATCCTTCTTCAATTCCTCCGTCACAGTAGTCTCTGGCATCGATCTCAACCATGCTGACGTTGCTGGTTATCTCCCACCTAAGCTTGGCCTCTTAACAGATCTGGCTATTTTCCACCTCAGTCCAACCGTTTCTGCGGCATCGTCCCAGATACTTTACTGCATTTCAAGTTGCTCTATGAGCTCAACCTCAGCAGCAACCGCTTCGTCGGCCAGTTCCCCAATGTCGTCCTGTCGCTCCCATTGCTCAAATACTTGAATCTTCGCTTCAATGACTTCGAGGGCTCCACCCTTCCAGTCTCTTTGACAAGGACCTCAATACCTTCCTTTTTATGAAGTATTATGAATGATGAATCATTAAAATGTTTTCTTTGAAGGGAAAATATATTTTTTTCCAAATTCCCAGTCGCTTTTGGGCATCCTACTCAGCCTATGCTTGACTGGAATTCTAGTTTAGTATTCTTCTATCGTTGGTTATTCACTTCTGCAAGTTGGATGTGGAGTATCATGGAAGAAACTTAGATTGTAAAATATGTCCTTTTYTATATTAATGAAGCATTGATTTACATACATGGTTGATGGTGAGAAAGATTAYATAGCTAGCTAATATAGATTATCCCATGCCATTTTTAACAAGTAATCTGCATTTCATGTTTTCAAAATTATCTGGACCTGTAAATTATATGTTAAAATGACCTAGTTCCACTTGAAAGCTTATTTAGTTACTTCAGGTTTGAGTTTGGAGTCTGACATTRGACACCGTCTACATTAAACATGCAGCAAGTGTTGTGATAAAGAACTTGAGTTTATGGATCTGAAACAAACTATGACCCTTCCAATCCAACCATATCTAACGTTAAGACTTTGCAAGGGTTCCATCTTGCAAGATAGGATATATTATCGGATGCTGAATGTTCATTTATGGAGAAAGAAAATATGGCAATGCGCATACAATTACGGTTTAAAATGTTGGTTTTGTTGGGATTTGGAAAGGTTACCACTTAAAGATAAGAAATATGTCAGAAGTATCAGAAATTTTGTGTGGATTTATTGTAAAAATTTTAGGGCTTTTTGCATAAAAAATGATCAAGTTTGGTCATTTAACAATTTTGGTTACGTTTTGAAACTAATAGCAAAAACAGTAAGCAGGAGATGTTTTGGTCTTTTCTGGACAAAAATACCCTTAAGTAAATGGCTGGTCTATGAGACCTTATTTAAGAACTCAGCGCGAGATGTTTTCGGCTTTTTTTATTCTTGCTTTGTTAGGTCTCTCATCTCTCCCTCTTCTCATCGTATTCATAAGACCTTATTTCTCCTCTCCTGGTTTCTCTAACTTGTTTTTTTTTCCCTCTTCTAACAGAGTTCATCTTTTCTCAGTACTCAGCTAAACTAATTGGCTTTTAGTTGGGTTATGGTTTAAAGCAAGAGAACCAGAGCAAGTTTTTACTAGGCAACTCAGATCTGAGTTATGACTCCACTAACAAGCCTCTCCCTTCTCTGTAGCAAAAACTAAATGCGAATTTATGTTTCTTTTAGAAAATGCAAATGAGAAACTATACAGCAATACCTTTCTCTTTTCTTTTTAATACAAGGAAAATTTCCTTCTCACTCCTTTCTTCACAATAAACTCTAATCAATCAGATGAAATTCTGATTGTAGACAGCCTTAATTGTTGGAATTTTGCATACCAAAAGGGAGCCGTAGTCAATCAAATTGAACATTTGATTGTAGACAATTTTCATCCCTTTGCTCTTCATTTTCATTTGAAGGGAACCATAATCAGCCTTCGAGAATTAGACTGTAGATGGTTTAATCCCTAACTTTGTCTTGAAAGAGGGACCA